TAAATAGAGTTTGAAAGAAACAACATTTTTCAGTATCGCTGGCCTTGTTCCAGGTAAAGTATTTATTAGTTTTAGTATTGGGGATATTATAAAAGGGTAGATGGATAACATCACAGGGCGTTTTGTTTGTCTGTCATTTAATTATGTTTAGAGTCCCCTGGATTTACAGTGTTTGATTATTCAATATTTACTGGAGAAAAAGTCAATATGTTACCACAGACTACGCACAGTCTGAGACATCCATAGAAGAAGCAGCTTCACACAGATGATGCTTTCTATTTAACAGCCGCAAAGGGAACGTTTCATTTAACTACCATCATCAGTACAGTATAGTGCAGAAAAGGCAAAAGAGATTTTATGAGTTAGAACAGTCTTCTCCCCCAATGTGGTGCCCTGTAGATTATTTAGACTACAACTGCCCAAACTGGGGATGTAGATGGCTGGGAGATGATGAGAGATGTAGTCCAGAACATTTGGAAGGCTGAAAGACAGAAATGCACCCAATATAATCCTGGTACCTTCCTGAAATACCAATAAATCCAGAGACAGGGGTTCTCAACATTTGATCTTCCAGATCCTTTGAGTTTTACCTCCCAGAGCTTCCTCTGTAGCTTGGATTGCAGCTTGCGCCCAAGCTAGGCCAGCTGTACAAAAACAGCAGCCACCAGTTAAGTGCTTTCTGGAACAGTGCAGCGGAAATGAATAAATGGAAATATTGCAAAAATTGAATGTTTAAGAGGTAACAAAATGCAATGGCATATGCTTGTAGAATGCAGCCATTGAAATCAGTTGTTGAGTGGTAAGGAAATACTTACCTAACAGCTATTAATTTAAAGGCTGGACTTGGTTGGAATTTGCAATTAGATTTAGGTCACTGGACTGGACCCAATGGAGCCTTGGTTAGACCAGGCTCATGGAAAGACAGAGTTTTGATTTCAGTGGGTCTGGTCTAAATGGGATTATGTCTGGATCCCACCCAGTATTTCTTTTCTATTTCAACTGTTGCCTTTTTACCGTGTTTCCCCAAAAATAAGACAGGGTCTTATATTAATTTTAGCTCTAAAAAACACATTAGGGCTTATTTTCAGGGGATTTTTTTTAATGTACAACAATCTACATTTATTCAAATACAGTCATGTTGTCATCTTCTGGTTGCTGCACAAGAGTGGAGGGCGGGGTTTCATTTAATGAGAGCTTATTTTGGGGGTAGGGCTTATATTATGAGCATCCTGAAAAATCATAGTAAGGCTTATTTTCAGGTTAGGTCTTATTTTCGGGGAAACAGGGTATATATAGAAGTGACACATTAAGCATCGCACATCTCCTGGATTTGTAAATCCAAGACTATAACTGTGCAGTTATTAAATTAAGAAATTATTAACTTATTAAATTAAGAAAGATGCAATAAGCCAAAAAAAAACAGATAAGGAAACAGAAGGGAAAATGAAGTTCCTTCCTCTCTCACCAAGGAAACCTGAATGGGCTCTGGGAATGTCTCACACAAAGGATGAAAAGAATTCAAGATCTTTTCGGTTTTCCTGCTAGATAAACATGGTGAATTTCATTGGCAGCAATTCAGACCCACCCTTCCAATAACTCTGGGACATTACAGGAGTGGAACAAACAGATAAAATAAGGGATTGTAAAATGCTCTAAGGGAGCCGGATTAGTCTGTTTCAGCAAACCTATCAAGATTCCCTCATAGCCCCTTAAGGATCAACGCATGTGTTCTGCCACAAACTTCCACAGATGACAGCTAATATTGTAAGATGGCCAGAAATGCCAGCAGGACAGTGTTGTTGTCCACTGCTGTGGTAGTGGCTGGACTCAACTGTCCTGGCAGGACATTTCTGGTGTGCTGGGTGGGGGCCCTGCACAGGGTTCCAGCTTTGACCAGAAGTAAATGGGCAGTATTCTGATCACTGAATTAATGGAAATTCTGTTTCTGAAGTATACAATCAGCCAAAGAACTCCAGCATTAGTTCTTTACTGTGAATTGTGGTACTGAAAATGTTATTAATGCAGCTCCCTTACCCCCCAAAAAACTATGGCTGATAGATTTGTGCGAAGATTTAGTTCTCAGACCTTTTGCACAATTGGCATTCTTTATTTTTTCCATGAACTTTTGATAGTACGAGATAGGTAGGGCAAAAAATGGGGGCATTCAGAATAGGAGCAATAGCACCACAATAAGATAAGTCAGATCCACGAGAACTGAAAGAAATCTTAACAAACTCTGATTTGGAAGAAGAAGAAAAAAACAGCCCTTTGGCTGCTCCAAACATTGGGGGATAGTCTGCTAAATTTGTACTGGTTGTACCAACTGTCAGCAATTCACCAAGAATATCTTTTTCACCTGAAAAAAGAACTTAGTGGAAATATTTCCACCACTCTGTTCATTTGCTTGCCCGTTCACTTGCTTGTGTATGTGGGCGCGCGTACATGCGCACACAGAGATCTTAAAGCACCTTTCTTCTGAATATCTGAATCCAGTCTCTCTGAGTTTCCAGATCTGACCCAGTTATAAGTTACATCACTTCATCATTAATATGATGTGACAAGTAACTTCTCATTACCAGCTCAGGTCTTGCCCATTCTCAGCTCCATCTATGACTGCTGCATTGGGCCAGCCGTATTCATTTCATTTTGACAGATAACTACTGAAATCTTTTTCTATACAATGCTTCATTTCATGATGGAAAATCGAACCTTTGCGTATGGGCTTCCTCCATGAGCTAGATTTCAAGTTTACTGCCATTTTATCTTATCTCTCAACCGCATTAAAAATCTCTCACTGCATTTTACAAATAGGTTTCTCAGAATTGTTTATTGCAATTGAACTAGCAATATGCTGTGCAAATAGGGAGGTTAATTCTTTTGAATGTGACCTGATATAATGATCCTATTTTGTCAAGCCTTCCATGCAGCTTTGTTATATGTTGTTTAATAAAAATCTGGAGGTTTTTTTTAATTATTCAGAGAAAATGTGACTTAATACAGTTGCTATGTGTGTTATGCACTGTCACGTCTCTGTCAACCCCTAGCAGGATTTTCAAGATATTTATGCAGTGGCTTTACAGTTGTCTTCACCCACTGAGTTTCAATGACTGAGTGTGGATTTGAACCTTGATTTACCCAGTCTCTCCCCACACACAATAATTCAAGAGTTCTTGATACATGGGGATGTAATAACAGGGAGACATAACCTTATTGCCAAAAGGGGTGACGGGAAAATAAGCCTCTTTCTAAATTGGTGAATCAACTCAGACTCTTATTTTTTGACCTTTACCTGTGACTCTCATTTTTGACTCGCATCCCTACAACATTTTAAAAATTCTGGAGAGGCAGCTATGCTGTTTTCAAAATGCAGGCATTGAAAGGAAATAAATATTAAGAGTGGTCCAGATAAGAGTTGGAAAAGATGGAGGCAGCATGTCAATGTTGAGGATCGCCGAAACTGAAAGATGGTAGTTGAGCATCGACGGACCTCATTTGGTAGGGATGGACCTCGGTGTCGTAACAGTGCCGGGGTCGAGGACCTGGATTTACCGGAGGACGGGAACTGTGTTGATGTAATGGAATGGAGTGAATGTCCCTAGACCAGGATGAATATCGAGGATCGTCGATATCAGAACCTGTGTCTCTGCGATGTCGAAATGGAGGTTGCTGGTGCGATGGCATAGCAGTAGAAGAAAATGATGCTGCCGATGCCAAGCGTGAAGAGTGATTTCTGGCATCTATTGTAGTAGGAAAGTATCGGGAGGCTGGGGCAGCAGAAGCCTCATGTGTGGATGAAATCTGCTCAACCGTCCAAGGTTTTTTCAATACCAAGCGGGGAGCAGGTTGAGGTACAGTCAACTATCAACTTCGACACCAATGGTTGTCGAGAGGTAGGCCAACTATTGGTTCGACACCAATGGTTGTCAAGAGGTAGGCCAACTATTGGTTGGTATTATTGAACCGGGTAAAACACCTGGTCGACTAGTTGGTGCAGTTTGGCGAGCAGAGCACTGGTCGGGGCAAATGGCAACCCGGTGCTGAGCGTGGGTTTGAACCACCTGCAATGAAGCTAGCTGTCAAGATTGGAGCGTGGGTTTGAACCACATGCAATGAAGGTAGCTGTCAAGATTGTTGATGTCAACAGTCCTGGTTAGGGATCGGTGGGGGATCCGACGGCATCGAATATGGAACGGTGTCGAGCCGTTCAGGATGAGAATCCTCGGGCGATGGAATAACTGAAGGAATGGGAGGTTGTGGACTGGGAGGAGAGGACGTTAATTGGTTGACTCTATCACCCCATTCTGGAGACTGAGAACAGGGTGGATGAGATGGAAGTCTGTCATCATCTGAGGGAGATCTGACCAAAATTGATTCAGAGAGTTGCGGTGGGATGTCTGTAGACTTAGACTGTTTAGCTCGTTTAGGAGGAACAGGCTCCGGAGCTGGAGCAGCTTCAGTAGGTCTCTGATGTTTTCGAAGTCAAGGACTTCGGTATTGAGGGTTTCAGTTTGTGTGTCTTCGAGGTCTTAGACGATGCAGATGGAGAATCGGAATGCGCTGGTGTAGCCGATGGACGTTGCTTCGATGATTCAGTAACGGCTTTTTCCATTGCTTTAGTTTGGGAACTGGCCCTACAGGGAGGTTGGGCCAGTTGAACTGGTTGTAAGGATTGTTCCCAAAGTTGGAGGTTTAGCCTCGAGAGGCGAGATTGAAGAATTCCGCGCTAGATGTTTTTGCAATGAGTACAGAAAGAAGTTTGATGTCGTTCTCCCAAACAGAAAAAGCACTTAGCGTGTCCGTTGGAAAGTGGGATCTTATTATCACAGACAACACAGTGCTTAAGCAGGCCCAAAGGGGCCAGGAATAGTTTGATCTATTAGTTTAAAAGAAAAAGATTGATAACAGGAAGGAATCAAGAATAAGCTCTCTTTCTCTTTTACTCACAGAAGCAGAACTATGAGGCTCTCAACACGGTGGTTGAAAGAAACTGAAAGGAGATGCTTGGCACGAAGGTACTTATATGGGTGTGGGGGGGCATATTCTAATGTGTTCGTTGCTACCGCAGAAGCTCTACAATCTTCCGATAAGGCTCCACGCAGGCACAAATCATCCAGGGAGTGATTCGCAGAGGCCACGAAGAAGAACTGATAATTTCAGAGCTGCCCACTTCAGCATAATCCCCAAATGAAAACTGGTTTGCAAAACACTGGTGTCTCAGATTTGCTTTTCATGTGGCAGAAGATCTGAGCAAGAGCACCGAAGTAGTTTCTACTATTTCTGATTTTTTTTATTTTTTGGTCTGTTGTTTTTACAGAGGTGATTAAAACAGAACAATTGTTCACATAAGTGGGAGAAATTTGCTGGAATGAATGTGAATTAGTATAACCAGTACCATCATTCTGGCTATATGAGGGTGGTGGAAAACGGCGTTCCAATGAACCCACAAGCCTTAAGGAAACCAAGATGTTTCTGAATGCAAGGAGAACTGTATTGAACCCAAAGAAACTCCAATATAGGAGAGAAAGGCTAAAGCATGTCTCTTGAGAAACCAAAGAAAATATAAATTTCGAAAATATGAAAAGGCCTCCAACTGTTTTTAGAAAACAGTTGTTGCTTCAAAAATTACTTGTTAAATTCAGAATAGGGATCCTTACAGCAGGTGGCTCCTTTCTTAGCTATGAATTCAAGGAAGTGGCATTTTCCCCCTTCCCCACTCGCTTTTGTCAAAAGCATAAGACTGTATCGGATCAAACGTTAGCTCAAAGTACACGGCGCTGCTCATGGCTGCAATGAGCCCCAAAGTCAAAGGTCGCCGCTCTGGGGCTCCAGCGTCCGGGGCTCTCTCTGATGACTCCGAGACAACCTTGGAAACCGGGCGGTCGCTCGAGGATGATTGCTTCTGTTTGCAGATTCTCCTGCAGGTTGGAAATCACTAAAAAAGAAGACAAAGGGGGGAGGGAGTCATAGACAAATTCATTTTGGTATATTAAACAAACCGGCAAATATTGTAACATGCATCAATAGATGCTGAGTCGGTAGCGTTTACACGGCAACAAGGGAATAAACTAATTACACAGTTATGTTCTCTCAGATACAGTAAAATAAGTGCACGAGTCTATATGACCTTGGTTTTGCAGCAGTATTTTATGAACTACTGGAAGACAAGATGATACAGAACTTTTTTAAAAAAAATAAAGGCACAAGCGATCTGGTGTGTACTACGCTAACGATGGACAGATGTATTGACAACGATGTGCAGTATAATACATCGCGGTGAGAGATTTGCAGTCTATTCTGACCCAGAAAAGATTGATTCATCACAAATGAGTTGCTTGAAAATAAAATGTGTGTCTAGTACAAACAATGAGTCGAAAGTACTGCTTACCCAGCAGTCATTCATGACTACGGACTCCTTGGAAAACTACAATATAAAAAGGAATAAGGCTGTACTTTCCACCATAAGGCTACTGATGCATAATGCACACATACACCCACGTGTATGGATATTGTTTCCAATTGTGCAGAGCTCCAAAAAGAAAAAGAGGAATGCAACATAAAATGCAGTAGCTTGTTTTGCTATTCTTCTGTCCCAAGTTCCAGAAGAAAATCTTTGTTCTTATATATATATATAGGAAATCAGGGTCTCCTCTTTGGAATTGTTATGCCTTAAACACTTTGGAATATATGAGAGGGTTCCCATGTTTGACAGAGTACTTTTATTTATTTTCTGCCATCAGTTTTACTCTAAGTTTAAATCTGTGTTCCTTTATTACTTTGCTTTTGTTATTTCATTTTTACGTTGTGTTTCAGGATTTTAATGTGTTGCTTTTGTTATTTCACATTATCTTGTACTTTAGAATTTTAATGTTATTTACACACTCTGCTTCTATAGCACTGTGATAATTACATATGATTTTAAAAATGAAATACATAATCAAAACAAGCGCGTATTGCTCTGTGTCTAGAAACTAGCATGTGAGGAAGAGGAAAGAAAGACCAAAGTAAAGACCATCCCCTGACAAGCTAGTTTTCTGCAGGTAGGGAGGGGCTGGACTTAATGGTCCACGGGGGCCCTTCCAGCCCTGCAGTTCTACCATGATTAAGTTTCTCTGCTTGTTTATTATTCACTGCTTTTCTAATACAGAGGACCATTCAGTTAAGTCAGCCAATATATCAGCCAATGGTTGGACAGAAGAGGCAGAACTAAGGAAATATAAGAGGAATGGAAGACAGTTAAGGATCAGTTAGAGTTAGAGTTAGGGACTTCAGTTAGGGATATCAGTTAGAGAGAAGTAGTTTAGGCAGCTAGGACCAGCTTTGTGTTAGAGAAGGGTAATAGAGAGATAGAGAATAAGACGAGGAAAGTACAAATCTTGTATGGTTTATGGTTATGATTGGAAAGAGTTAGAAGTGAAAAGAAATGGATAAATACCTGGATTAAAATGATTCTACCTAAGTTAATATAAATGTTACCAAAGCATAATTTATTGAATGAATAAAATAAGACCATCCATGATTCGCTTTACGTGTTTGACTGATAAACACGTAAATAAACATTGTTATATTGGAGAACTGTGATTTAAGAGTCATATTTGATAGAGTGAGGAATAAATCCTCTGGTGGCAGTGGAAAAGGGTTGAGAGATAAATGTCATACCCGAAAGTGAACCTGGGGTTGTGTGGAAGAACAAACAGGGGAACTGGGTGTGTGTGACAAGCCTCATTTCCCAAACATGGGTGTCCTTCTCTTTATTTAGGAAACAGCAGCTCTCCGGAGCAGCCGGGAGGTAGCAGAGACAACTGATCTGCCCTCCTCCCCACTTTGCCACCCGAGGCAACTGACTTATTCAAGCTAACGGCAGGGCCAGCCTCAGCCAAGCACGACATCCAGGATTTTGGTGATCAGAGGAAGAGGTTCGCCACTTTTGTGTTATTTGCTGACCTTGTTTTCACTGCGACGGCTGTAATTATGTTGCAACAAAGAATGACTCTGCACAGGCTGCTCACAATTTATTATCCTGAAACGGAGAGCTGTAACATAAAAGATTGCACTCTAAAAGAAAAATGTGGTGAGCAGAGTAGAATAAGGGAAAGGAGAATAAAATGCTCCCAAAGACAGAACAGGGCAGGGCAGGACGAGAGGCAGGAAACACCCTCACCTGCTGTTCAACATTGCAACAGAACGTGAGTAGGAAGGCCACCTGCTTCAGGAAGAGTTGGTGCCAGCCCCCCTTCAGGGGGAAGGAAGGGGGTGGATTCTCTTTCAGGGAAGAGAAAGGGGATCAGCACCTCGGTGAGATCTCTAGAAGGCTTTCAAACTAGCTGTGCCCAAGCGTAGCTGGCATATGGGAAGATCACAAAGAAGAATAGCTCAGAAAGGCAGAGACGACATTCCCCCATCGTGATTCACTTATACAGTGGTGCCCGCATAATGAGCACTTCGTTTAATGACGAATCCGCATAGCGATTGAGTTTTTGCGATCGCAAAAGCGATCGCATAACAATGTTTTAAATGGGAAAAATCGCTTTGCGATGATCAGTAAGCTGTTTCACTTACCGATTATCGCATAACGATGGTTTTCCAACAGCTGATTGGCGGTTCCAAAATGGCCGCCGGGTAAAGAAAATGGCCGCCCGCTGTTTTTGCGCCCTTTCCTCACTTACCAGGCAGCGAAAATGGCAGCCATATGGAGGATTTTTGCAGAATGGTGAGTTTTTTGCCCATAGGAATGCATTAAACATGTTTTAATGCGTTCCTATGGGCTTTTTTGTTCCGCATAGCGAAGAATCCATATAGTGATGATTTTTTGGGAATGGATTATCGTCGCTATGCGGGGCACCACTGTACATCTTATAGGCAAGTAACAAGTCAGGGTACTTGACAAGGGGCAATTTCAAACAGGCTGATGCAACCACTCTTAAAAACACTGTCTGGAGACCAATTGCCTGTGTTTGCATAATGACTGCATACAAAAACAGACTCAGTGTTGCTTGCCTGAATTATCTATTTAACTTTTAAACAGTCCATAGCCAATCTGTTTGGTGCTCAAAGAAACAGAAGGAACACAAGAAGATGAAAACAAAACACAAAGCAGTTAAACATGTTTAGAGAAGCTTCTTGCCAGGGAGAATGCCTACTCTTTTTAAAAAAGGAGCCATCAAGGAAATACAGAGGAGGGAAAGGAAAGAGAAAGTGTTGTGAATGCCATGAATCACAAAAGATGGCAAGGAGCCATGCCTCCCCCTTGCACGCAAGGTGCCAAAAAGGAAGACGTTGACATCTTTGTTCTTGCAACAAATGCATCTTGATTAACACATTATCTGGCAAATTTCAAAGTCTTCTACTCACTCTGTAACAATGTGCCAAGAAAGGATGTTGGGCTTCTGAGTATTAAGAAGTGGCTTACAGTCATCTCTTCTCTATACTTGCTAAGAGGTACCTTGGGTATCAAAGACAGACACCGCTTGCTAATTTCCACCATGCACAAATTTGATTCTTCCAAAACCCCTCTTGTTTATGAATGCAGATTCCTTCTGTGTCTATGATTCAAAATGCAAGGAAATGGTCTGACATTGCCTTGCAATATCATACCCACGTTGCTAGCAGGAAAGGACACATAGCAAAGGCCGGACTGATGGCACCAATGTCAGCAACTAACTAACATGGCCTACAGAATCCCCTATTGTGCTCCTTACCATTCATTAATGAATACCAAGCAGAAGAATCTGAGTGGTTTTTTTTCCATCACTTAACCAGATCTTGTGAACACAAAGCAATTTTCATGGCTGTTTTTTAAAAAGCTCCTCCCCCCCCCTCTGGTTCCTCTTCCTCTCAATCTCTCCTTATGGCTCCCTTATTCTGTCTCTGTGGCTCCTTTCCCCTCTTTCCCACAGCCTCTTGCTCTCCCTTTCCCCCTTCTCTCTCTCTCTTTCAGTCCTCATGGATCCTCTTGTGTGTCACCATCCAAGACAGCCTCTCGCCAGGGGCAAAGGCACCAGGGCCCCATCCGCCACGCAGGGGATCAAGTTCAGAGCCACCCACTGCGCAGAGAGGTCTTGGCAGGGCACGCAGCCACACAGTGTCCTTTCTTCCCACAGTACAAACAGAGGCCCAGGTCTCAGCGACGTTTCTTCTCCATGGGGGTCAAGCCACAGCAGGACCCATCCACTCCCATGGGAGACGGAAGGCCACTGTGTGGGGAAGCTCTAGGAGGACGACGCTCCATCTCAACTCAGGAGTTACGGCGTTCACGCTCTCTTTCGGTTAACCTGGTGTCAATATTAATACACAGAGAGATGAAGTTGGTCAGGTCGGCTGGTGAATCAACCTGAGTGAATTCATCCTTGATAGCCACATTCAGGCCCTGCCGAAAGTGGAACCGCTGCACCTCCTCGTTCCGTTGCGTATCTGCAGTGAGGCAATGGAACTCGGACGCCTAGTCTGCTACCGGTCGCTGCTCTTGCTTCAGGGCCTGCAAAGCCTGCTCTGCTTTCTGGGCCTGATGGGCATCCCCAAACCTACTCTCCAAAAGTTGCAGGAAAACAGCCACTGATCTCAATGAGGGGTGAGTAGACCCTAGCAGGGGTGATGCCCAAACTGGAGCTGAACCCTCCTGACCCTGCAAACACCAAGCCATTCCTGGGTCAGGCTGGCCCCGATCCAGCAGCTGCCAGGGTGGTATGGGCCACATCCTGACATCTTGTCTAGATTCATTTTCCCTCCACCCACCCTGCCCCCAGCTCCTCTGCCCCTCTGTGCTTATTTGATCAAAGAGAAATAAATATCCCAGTCATAATGCTGAAGTTCCAATCTATCATCTTGCCCAGAGGTAAGACCCATTCACCTCCACGAGACTCATTAGCTTCCTGAAGTACTGGCAACATGTTTGGGCAATGGCTACATGATATTTCAATATACCCGCACAGCCAGATT